CTTTATTATATGTTATCCTTTAGGAATTTAAGGTATGTTACTTGGAGATTTTTGCTCCATTTGACCTTGTATTAAGGGTCATTCATTTTCATATTTTTCAATAGTAGAAGTGGAGTGACAAATAGCAAGGTCTGTAGGTGCAACTAGTAATTGGGCCAAGATTGGACGTAGGCCAAATTTTACATATTGGGCTTGTTTTGTTCCATATTTTCCAAGGAATTGATTTAGCTAGGTTTTTCACCATCATTTGATGAACCTAACTAAACCAACTCAATGTTTTTGGATTGGATTAAATATGGAAATACAAGTCTTGGCCACCTAACCTAGTCCTTTGGCCACATTTGGTGAACCTAACTAAACCAACTCCAAGTTTTTAGATCGGATTAAATATGGAAAAAACAAGTGTTGGCTGCTTAGCCTAATCCTTTGGCCAAATTACTTGGCTTGTCTTGCACACTTGGGAAGTTTGTGCTACAAGCTTTTAACATAGCTTGCTTCCCAATCTTCTAAGTTAGAAGCTTGCTCCACAAGCCTTCTAAACCAACTAGACCGGTTAAGTTAAGTTAACCATGGTTCTCTTGAACCATAGTTAGACTAGCTTGCACCATAAGTTTTCAAGCTTCTAACTTAGCTTGCTTCCCAAGCTTCTAAGTTAGAAGCTTGCTCCACAAGCCTTCTAAACCAACTAGACCGGTTAAGTTAAGTTAACCATGGTTCTCTTGAACCATAATTAGCCTAGCTTGCACCACAAGTTTCCCCACTCTATATAAATCTTTTTCTTTTGTAATCACTTTTTGATCATATATTGAGTGAATTCTGAAATTGTTCAGAAATTCTCTCTTCTAATAGTCTCCAAACTCTTTGATATTCATCCAATTCTCTTATCGTCTCAAACAAGAGTGTGCTAAGGATTAAAGTGGCTTACCTCTTCCAAGGAGTGGTGTTTCTTGAAGAATGTTCTTCACTAAACCTTGGTGAAATCCAAAGCTTCTCCTCCATTGGAAGCTTTGGAAAAGCTTGAGAAGAATCAAGGAGCCAAAGGTCTAGGGAGAAACTTGAAGAGGAATCAACATCAATCTGTTTCCAAAAGCAAGTTTCCATCAGATCATGCTTGCTAAAGCACAATCATGCTTCAAAAGGAAGCACACCTTGATTGAATGAAGCATACTCATGTCATTAAGCACGTTTGTGTTTTCCTATATCCATGATTTTAATTGTAAATAGGGATGTACAGACCACATTTCTTTCATCAAGTTCTTAGATTTAGTTTCTCATTTTTTTTTCTTTCTTGTATTTGTTGTTGAGGTTATGTAAGAGGATAAAATCCAAACTCTCAAAGAAGGATTCTACCACTTATGGTATTTTTACCCCTTTTTTTTTAATGGATTTTAGTAGCTTGTTAGGTTATTTTTCAATCATGTCTAACTAGTCTCTATGTTTTACGGTTATGATGTAATTATTCCTAGTGAACCTCCAATAATGAATTGCATTAATTATGTTTCTTAATTTTCAAAATATTTTAGTACTTTACATTCTTATCTTAGTTAATTGGAAGTGCATGATCAAATTAACTCTTTTAATTAACATAACCCTAAAATAATTGAATTATGGAAATTTGTATGGTCAATTTTGTTTTCTTAATTTTTGATTGATTTATTTTATTAATTTACTTTTGTGTGTTTATGCTTTGTTTTACGAATAAACTTCTTATAATCAATTTGGGGTTTTCCTAAAACAACTGTTGACTTCTTGGATTAAGAGTTATTAACAATTTAATAAGTAAATTAACAACAATGTTTCATGATTTGTGAAATTCATCTTAGGAGAGATAAGAGACAATAAATCACAAGTCAATAGTTTTTTTTTTCCATTGATCTCAATAACACTTTCTTGTCTTCTACTTTTGTACTTGAACTTTAATATTTGTGTTCAATATTTGGACTTTGTTCATTGTTACTATGTGGTAACGCACACTATTGCCTTAATTAAGTGCATTTTATACTCAAAAAAGAAATTTATCAACATAAATGAATGACAATGAACTAAACTAACTTGAAAATAGTTTGAAACTCAATTTTTAATTCATTGAACTTGGTTCATAAATCAAATAAGCTAAATTTGAGCTAAAGATTGAACTCAAATAAATTTATGTGTTGAATTTGAGTTGCATGTAGTTTAACTTGTTTAGTTCGTGAATCTTCTCGACATATAAATATATAATTTATATATTAACTTTCTATTTAATTTAAACTTTTTAATACTTAAAAAAAACTTCAAAACTTAGTTATAAGTTATTATTAATAATAAAAGAAGTGAACACTTTTGAATTTTGTGGTTATGGATTGAGTTTTCTATTATTTTATGCAAGGTGAAGAAGTTTTTATTTATAAACTTTGGTTGTAATTAGGTTTCTTTGGAGTCATACCTTGTAATTGCAAAACTAATAAAATAAGTCATACTTTGTCTTTTAAAAAAAGTAAACAATCATTTTATCAAAAATATATTATAAAATGAAATTTTGAAATGTATAAGATTAAAAAAAATTGACTATTGGTACATGTGATTCAAGCTAACAAGCTGAATTGAGTTATTAGCGAGTTTGAATCAAGTTGAATTTGAGTTGAAAAAAGAGGTTCATGTCGAACTCCGGTTGGGCTATGAAATGAGCCAAATATACTCAGATCAATAACAAACAATAAGTTAACACATACAACTACACATAACTTAAACAACTTCACAACAAAAGCATAATGGAAGTGTTGTGCACTAGGGAAGTTTGCACACACATCTCTATATTAGTAAGATATTCTCCACTTTAGACTTGAGCTTTCATGATTTTACTTTTGAATAATGTTAGACTTTGATTTCATCTCAATAATCCTCCTCTCAAATAAAAGACCATGATTTAACCCCCTTTATAATAGAAGCTAATTCACAAGTATACCCAATGTTGACCCATAAAGCTTAATCATTCTCTAAGTACTTGCACTACCACTCCATCGTTAACTCACAATAGTGAGACACGTCTCCTAATCTTCCATGTTACCAATACGACTTTTTTCTATATATTAGTCAATCATTAGGAAGACTTTTATTATCAGGGATCCTATGCCTGGATCTACCTATCAACTCCATCATACTCGCCAAGTTAGTTACCTAATTGAAACCACCAGCTCTGATACCACTTGTTGAGCATCGAGGGTTTCCACAGACATATGTCTCTACATTGGTAAGATATTTTTTACTTTGGGCTTAAGCCCTCTTGATTTTAATTTGGTTCATTACCCAAAAGACCTCTTATTGATGGAATTTTTGTGTATATAAACTCATGTTCATCCTTTTATTTGAATAAAGTGAGACTTTGATTGTTAAACTTGTTGTGGCTTCTTTTGCTTGATAAGCTTAACCCACTGTGGGACACCAAATTGGACAACCACAACTCATTAGGCGGGTTGACTCCCCTATGGATCTTCTTGTCCAATGACCACATCTCATTGAGTAAGAAGGATTCTTTGAGGTCCTCTCGCTGAGAAAGCTCTCATAAGAGTCACCCACAAATTCATCTTCTCATTGAGAAAAACTTCCACTGTTGAGCAAAAGGACAAAAAGTGGGCAAATGTTCATTAGCTATACATGCACATTGGGCGAGCATGCATTCTTGTTGGGCGAGAATGCGAAGTTCCACCATGGAACTTACCTTTTCTCAACAAATCCAACCAACATATACCTTATCTACCACATGCAAACCATCAACATGTTCCAAACAACTTAAACTACTTGAATTCAACATCAAATTCCACATGCAACAAGGATCTAACACATATTCAACGTCCTTGGGTCTTAAGTTTCCTTTCGTCAAAATCCTAACTTAACAACTTCAACAATTATCATCTAATCGCAACATATAGGCAACCAATGGGGCAAACAACAATAGTTAACAACTTAAAACCACTTAAAGAATCAATCAATAAACTTTCGTTACCTCAATTGCTTCTAAAAAACAAGGAAAAGAAGAAGAAATATGAAACTTTCAAAATCCTTAGGGCTCAACTTCTCTATAAGAATCTGAGCTCTTTAAGCTTGAATTCCAACTTCTACAACTAAATCTCAACCTTAAGAAAAGATCTAGATATTCTCAATAAAGTTAGAAGAAAAAACGATCTTCTTAACATGACCAAGTTGCAACTTTTTCCCAAATATATTCAAAATCATGAAATACATTGTCATTCTATTACTTTTTCTTTCCTTAATTATTATAAGCTCATAAGTTAGTTTTCTCTCTCTTATTCCTTCATGTCAATTTCTCATGCTTTTGGCTATAATTTGATGTTGCAATAGATGCATCTAGCCTTTAACTAATATACCAATATTAAGGTATTTTATTTGCTTATTTTATATTTTCTTCCGTTACTTGTCTTATTACAATTGTCGCGCATATGAATTTTTTTTAATGTATGCTAGTAAAATGTTTTCTATATTAATTGAGCCTGTGACCCTCAAGCTTTAAGTTATTCATTGCAACTTAGTTAGAAATGGTATAAACTCTTTAAGCTCGTTGCTGACTTTTATTAACTGTTTCAATGTAGTTGACAAACTTTCTGTTGGTTTTTCTGCACCTCTGGTGGTTTTATTAATTTGGCTTGTGATGTATGATTATTTAACCGTTACAAATTAACTTTTTTTTTTTCTCGTGGTGGTTAGTTTTTCAACAGAAATAAAATAATCTTGTAATTATAATCATTATGAGTTTATATTACCAATAAAATATATTACACTGATAGTGGCAGTAGTAATGATATATATATATATATATATATGTATATATATATATATATATATAATTTCACAATTTTCCATCTAACAAAATTGTTTATCAATAGTTAATGCATCAAACTAATTAATAAAATGTATATACTATATTAATAATTGAATTTTTGTAAGAAAAAAATGTGTAACAATGAGAACAAGCCTATGGACAATATGGTAGTTAATAAATGGGTTTCTTTAGCGTATCGTGAACCAAATTCAACAACAATAATAATAATATACATAACACGGATAATCCAAACAACACACTACACATGACCAATATTAAAAAATAGCAAATCCACCCACATGCATGGGACCATTCTAATGAAATTACACAAATGCATATTAAAACAATTACATTCTGGCATGTAAAATTATGACTTAATTCCCATCATCTATTGACTATGGGGGCCGGGCACTAGCACTTCTTAAAATTTGTATATATTCTGCTTCAATCTCCAATCTTGTGACGAATAATTGCACATTGCATTTAAATATATAATATCTTGAAAGGTTTACTTAATTACTATTATGTTTCCATGACTTAACTAGCAGTCATTAATTTGAATTCCAAGAGCTAGCTTTTGATGTTCTCATATCGGATCCTCAAAACATTGTTTATGTATGATTTACCCCGATGCTCAGGTGAAAGGTATCCCTTATAGAAATCTGCTACACCAATTGTTTTGAACAAAGGTGGTGTTTCTGGAGTAACAAGAGAAGGTGCTGGACCTATGTTTCCACTCCATTCTGGGCCACTAAATGCAGCTATGGATAGCCTTTCTTTATTTGAGTTTACCACTGCTCGATGCTCCCTGCTCCTATATATCCCATTTGTCACTACCTGTACGTCAAACCATATATATAACAATGGATTAGGACTATACTGATCCTTGTCATGTTAATTTTTGTATTATACATAATAAATCAATAAAAACTATTAAAATATATGTATTTCACTTAAATGATGAATTATAAGAACTAATTATGAATAAAAATATCATATACATGATTGATTGTTACCATAAAAGTTTAAGTCAATGAATAAATAAGTTACTTATGATTTTAGTCGTAGATATTATTTTGGTTCATAAAATTAAAATTTGTATTTTTAGTTTATGTAATTTCAAAAGAAATTTTTTTAGTCTCTTTATATAATTTTTTTTGATTTTTCAAATTTAAAATTTGAGTATTCAATCTCTAAAATATTATTATTTTAATATCTTTGTCCAATTGTCATTATTAAATCCGTCAATTAAAATTCATTTATTATTGAATATGTTGCATATAATTTTTCTATTTATACATTAAAATTATTGATTCTATATGATTATTTTAACCTATCAATGTTAATTGATACTATTATATATTACAGTCTTATAGACTAAATTAAACAGTAATTTTTTAAATAAAAAGAATAAAAGGATAAATTTTAAATTTGAGGAGTTAAATTAATTTTTTTTCCTTTTAGTGACTAAAAACACTAATTTTAAATTTGAAGGACAAAAAATATGTCTTAAATTTTAAAAACTAGAAACATAATTAAATCTAATTTATTTCATGTAATTATAATCAAATGCATTTTTGGATAAACAACCTAGGAAAAGGAAAATGTTAGACCAGCAAGTTTCGCATGCATTGCATGAATACTTTTAAATATAGGTAAAATATCAAGGTAAAGTTAATTATCCTATAGAGCAATTTATCATTCTTTTGATATTAGATTTAAACTCAAGAGAGAAAATAAAAACAATTATATGACATGATGAGTATAATTATTACTCACAAATTTGGTTACCTCCAAAACATCTCCAAGAGTAACGATGAAAGCATTTGGGAGGGGTTTAACAGGAACCCATTTTCCATCTTTTTTGATTTGGAGGCCTTCCACTTCATTGGCTTGGAGAAGGATGGTTAGGGCAGATGCATCAGTGTGAGACTTTAAGCCAAGGACATTTTCTGGTTGGGGACAAGGAGGATAGTAATTGATCTTTATTGCTTGTCCTGGTTCCCCTAATGACTCTTTAATTTCCTTTGGCTGATCTATACCAAGAGCTTTCCCAATAAGAACATAAATATTGATGGCAAGGTCTCTCATCTCCATGCAATAATCCTCTAAATTTTCCCTTCAGGCCAACGTTAATTCATATCATTATTGTGGTTTGAGGTACTAGCTACACAGAAATGGCAGTCTTCTAATTTCATGTGTGCATTTGGTGGAAAAGGCAATAATTGGTCATTTCAAAGGAGCAGTCTTTAATTATATCAAAAACTGAAACCATGTATATGATTGGCATAAATATAGCCTCACATCAAATTCGAAATTGAAGATAAAAATTGAGCACTGAGAACTCTATCTCTTACTACTTTTATCATAAAAAAATGATTTGTAACACTACAAATCTATTTGTAACCTAGTAAGAAAAAGAGATAAAGAGATGGGTAAATATCTTACGTATACAATGTAATATGATGAAAGAGAGAAATAGGGAGACAAGGGGGAATTTTTAAAGTACCTTTCCAAATATAAAGAAAAAACTCCTGTATAATGATATTAATTATAAATAAATTTTAATTATTTTATATTATTTAATTATGTCTTTAACAAAATACCCTTTATTTAATTGGAACTTTTTTACTTATGCTTCTGAGGTGAGGGAGAATGTGAGTAACATTTTAGGCTTCACATCAGGTGTTATTTATTTTGCTGTCCAAAAAAAAAAAAGGTATTATTTATTTTTCTTTTTAAAAAGGAAAGAAAGCTTGGTAACTTGACTTGCTTATAACGGAGAGCACTTTGGACTTATATACAACACTTAATTTTTTATTTAGATCATATAAGATTTTTAAAAGTTATATTATTATTATTATTATTATTATTATTATTCTATTTAGAATAATTTTTTTTATTATTTAATACGTGTAAACCTATTTTACCAAGGTTGAACACGGTTAAATAATTTTCTAGTTTAATGATTAATTTGGCTTAAAAACATATATTGATCTATGTCAATCTCTCTTCTACATGACAAGTAGAAATGAACCAAAACTTAATTTAAAAATGTTTTTCCTATTTTCTTAAAATAAGGCCTAAACCTATGGTCAACCTTCATTTTTTTATTAATATATAT